TAGAAACAATACTTCTGCACAACTATGTGGTTGACGATTGATTACTAAGTGTAGCAAGGGTAGGATGGATCTAAAGCATAATGGGAATAAATAGAATATTTAGCATCTGATTCACTGCTGACCAGAGAGTTAAAAAAATGCTGATGTCTCCTTGGTGATTTAATATATTTAAGGATAAATGTCCAACGAATGTGGTGATAGCAAATGGATGTTGATTAGAAATGTGAGAAGCACCTTAATGGACAGCCTAACTGAGTGTCAACAGCATATTGGAGATACCTAACTGCACTGTGGAGGATATATTTGCCCAACAATTTGATGTAGATGTTAAATAGAAGTGGCATCCTGTGGAATAGAGGCCTAGAGATGGATCTCTCTCCTCTCACTAATACGGATTCAGAGGAAGAAGGAGAACCTCTATAGAACTTACCTTCTAACTCCTTCAACTGTTCCAGAAGGATATGATGGTCAATGATATCAAAAATCACCAAGAAAGCCAGGATTGGGTATACTACCTCTGTCCCAAAGCCAAACCGGATCACCTACAAGCATGATCAGTGCTGTCTTCATATTTAATAAGGCCTAAAACATGAGTGCAATGGATTCAAATAATCTGCAGGGGCACTGCAATGGCCATAACTTTGGACATGGGTTATAAGTCCCTTGGTTCTGTGCAATTGTAATTTCAAGCAGTTGCTGAATGAATGGTTATCAAGTGAAGACTACCTGCATGTGAAAAATATACACGAATGTAATATATGTATTGTACTAAATTAATGTGCATTATGCCTCTTCCATTTCAATCACACTGAAAGTGAACCTGCCATGCTAAGATCTCCATCTGATCTGAATCTGCTCCTTTAAATAACTATTTAGTTCATTTATGACAGGATAAGTGGATTCCCTTGGTACATACTTACAAATGTAACTTTACAAGTTTACCTGGTTGATTGATCTACCTATGGCTGTTTTTTTTTCCTGTTTTCTATGGCCACTCTGTGCCCTTAGTTCTTGGCAAAATCCCTGGTGTTCTTTTTTTTTATTGGCCAAGTGTGATTGAACACACAAGGAATTTGTCTTGGTGCAAATACTCTCAGCATACATAAAAGAAAAGATACATTCATCAAAGAGTCAAGAGTCATAAGGTACAACAATAATAGTCATACCGTACAATAAGCAATCAAATCATACTAGGAAAAAGTCAATATAAATTGTAAGGATACAAGCAACAAAGTTACAGTCCTACAGTCACAAGTGGAAGGAGATGGGTGATAAGAAGTGATGAGAAGATTAATAGTAATAGTAGTGCAGACTTTGTAAATAGTTGGACAGGGTTGAGGAAATTATTTGTTTAGCAGAGTGATGGTGTTTGGGAAAAAAACTGTTTTTGTGTCTAGTTGTTCTGTGTGCAGTGCTCTATAGTGCCGTTTTGAGGGAAGGAGTTGAAACAGTTTATGTCCGGGAAGTGGGGGGTCTGTAAATATTTTCACATCCCTCTTTTTTCTTTCCTGTATCACAGTGCTGGCACTGATATGCTGCATACTGTCCCAAGACTCTTATAGGCAATTTTAGAGCCACATTGAATAACGTTCACAATAGAGCTATGCAAAGTCTTTGAAAAAAAGTGCTTCCAGTCTATGCAAGCAAAGCATTGCTTTCCAAATCATTGTAATATTTCAGCTACCTCCACATACATGTGCATGGGTTAGTATTGATTTCTGTCAGCTCTTCCAAGTCTCATCTGTTTCCTTCTTGAGCTACATAATCTAACTATGAGTTTTCATGGGTGAGTTTAAGTAAGTCTGCTCTGAAACTCTGTGGAGCGTACTACTTGCTTCACTTTTTCTTCACTGTCTGAGTCTCTTCTAACTTTATAAGGATTCTCATAAAAGCTACAGCAGGGGTGTCCAACCTTGGCAACTTGTGGACTTCAACTCCAAGAATTCCTCAGCCAGCTGGGAGTTGAAGTCCACAAGTCTTAAAGTTGCCAAGGTTGAACACCCCTGAGCTACAGCATTCTTACTGCCTCTTCACAGCTTGCCAAGGAAAGGCCTTTTTGTTAAAGATATCTTACATCTACATCCGATTTGTGTTCTAAAGACTGGCTTCTATTTTTATCTGTCCACCTAAAATCTTTCTCTTTATATGGGTACTTTACAACATCAGTGGCATCCAGGCTAGATGTTAAAACTGGAGATAGCTCTTCCATTATCCTTCTACTTGCTTTTGTTATTTTTTAGCTTGAAGTCTGATAATGACTCTAGCTACTTAATTCTGCTTCTGTTATTGCAGTGTAGTATCTCCAACTATCAGGTATTCATATATTAGCAAGGCAATATCAGTTGCATAATTAGTTTGCATGCCAGATTTTTCATATTAACAGTAACTTTCTGTTTCTGATTGTAGATCTACATCTAAGTTTCAACAAATGAGACTTCTTTAGTTTGCACAAGATGGTGATGATAGTTTTAGACCAATACCATCTAGATGAGTCCTTCTGCTTTTTGACCATTGATTTCTATGAGTATTCATATTTCAGCTGGGAACTATTCTAGAGAGCTAAGGGTCGGGAGTTTTGATATTTTTTGTCCTCTTCTGTATTTTCTGTCCTTTGTATAATAACAACCCTTTATGAGCCATTATTTCTGCATTAATTCTTCCTTGCTAATTCTTAATTCTTAATCTAAGCTTGTGCCTATCTGTCTATATAGTTTTGTTTATATTTCCTCCCTTCCCTCTTTGAATTAAAGATGTTAATTACTCATGATTGGCAGCTTCTCAAGTTAGCAGACCATTTTCTTTCTTGTTCTTCCTTCAAAATATGATCCCATGATGGATGATCTCATCTCTTTGTGGTCTTTGGACCACTCTGGAATGCCTCAGTGGTCTTTTTTATCCACTCTGGAATATTTTGATTCATTCTAGAGCAAACAAACTTCTGGCAACTCCAAAACTCTTCAGTCTAACATGATTCATCACCGTCTCATTTCATTAACCAGTATTAATCTCCTGTCTCCCCCTCGGTGAGAACTGTTATATGAAAATGTGAAACCGCTTATTACTTTCTTATGTAGTTTATCGAAGAACCAGAACAGTGTCATCATATGATAGAATGGCAGTGTTCAGTTGCTACATAATTTCAATTTTCAAGTGCCATCTCTCTTTTAAATAAAGAATTGTCTTTGAATAAAAATAAGTGTTTATTGTAATATATTATTGTTTAATTTGAAGGGCAGAGCATCCTGATTACAAATATATAAGATGCTAATTAGTTCTAGTTTTTTGATCATCATTGTAAAAACATTGTTTTTATATCCAGTTGACTGACTCTTGTATTTGGAATTTTTAAATTAACCAAGAACTGGGAATTGAGACTAAAGAATTTATTTCAGCCTTGACTTATGATACAGCTTTGTTCAAACCATACCTTTGTTTTATATATAGAGTAAAAATAAACTCATTGAGTGATGAACAGTCTCAGTGGACCCTGGTAGAGCATGTATAATTTCAGAAGTGCTAAACATGATTTCTGTTCTTTCTCATTTTTCTACCATTCTTTTATGTCCCCAGAGATTGCTGGAAGAGGATACAATTTATTAAGAGATTTTAGCTGGTGAATTATAGAGAATTTCCTGCCCTTTCCTTCCATCCTTCTCCAGTGCTTTAATTTTTGCTTTCATACTTTCAGGTCTCTCCTTTTTCCTAGTTCCTATTTCCTTTTCACCACCATGAAATTAGGCTGAAGGTGTTGGAAGAAATATCCTTCTGGATTCAATTCCAAGTGGGGAAGAAAGACACTGGAAACATGGTGACTGATTGGAAAGATGGTTTATTGATGAACAGGATGGGTTCTTGGGCAGGAAAAAAATGGGGAAGAGATGCTGAGAGTCCCTTGATTTTATGCCCTCTGTTGGGATTTGAATTTGAACTTGTATTCTGATTGGTTGTCAGACTCCCATGGGGCCATGCAGGAGAAATTTTTTAGGCTGTCCTGAGTCCCAGGCTTGGTTGAGCCTTGCTGGATGATGATGTAATGAAAGGGCTTTGGGCAACTCCTATGGGTTTACCTGGAGTAGATCTTTGTTATGTAAAATAGACTGGCCCAGGCCAGAGTAATGCTCCATTAGCAAAGGTGCCCCCCCACCCCCCAGTTTCTGTGTCTCCGAGTTTCTACTTTTCTTTTTAGGGAGAATATTCTGCCTTTTTTAATATATCCTAAAATATTTCATTTTCCTAGGAGAGGGGTGGGTTTTAACTTCCAACAGCTGTATACAGCCCTCAGTTGCAGGTTGCACACTTAATATTTTTCCTCTTGCTCTTCTCTCAACTTTTCAGTTAATAATATTGCAAAACATTCAAAACTTCTTGGTCCACTGCTTTGTTACCTTATATTTCAGCCGATCTTCAGAACAATATTTGTTTGTTTGTTTTATTCTATTATAATGCAAGCCCTTACATTTTGCTACTTTTTAAAACAAACCTGGGGGGGGGAACCCAGGGGAAAACAATACCTGACACTATAACTATCTGTTTTGTTCGGGCAAGGACCACGTGGGCACCTCTTTTTCTTTTTTCTTTTCTTTTCTTTTCTTTTTTTTTCTTGACACAACAGTGGTGTTGAAGCTAGCTGACGGCGAGCAAGGAGACCGAAAGTGCTTGATTTGACTCGCGAAGAGCTCTGACAGGACAAGAAGATAGACGCTGGGATTTAAGTCCCCTTGCTTCTTTCTAGGCCCGAACTGTCTCGAGTTCTGTTTTAACAGTTTAGGAATACCCCGCCCTCCCCGGGTCCCCCCATCTTTGTCCCGAATGAGTTCCTTCTGCAGGTCCTCCAACCCTTCGTTTTTCTCTTTTCGCCTCCTTTCTGTCTACAGTAGGAACTCCCAAGGGATGTGGGAACCTTTGTCCACTCTCGGAACCTTTGCTGTCGGTGTGCCTGTTGCTGCCCGGGGAAATCCTCCACGTAGCTCCGACTAAGGGGACGTATTACCGTTGCGTACCCCAAGCGGAGGGATTGAAGAGCGACGAGAAGAAGGAGGAGGAGGAGGAGAGGAGGAGGTGGCGGAGGAGGCGGTGACGGTGACAACGACGAGCGTTAAACGAGGGCCGGCGCGCACCAGGAGCGCGCGGAGCGCCTCAGCGCCCCCCCCCCCCCCCCCCGGGCTCCCTCAGTGGCCTTGGCCCGCGGCCCCACTAGGAGGTGAGACTAGCCCCGGACTCTGGCTAGAGTCGCCAAGAGGGATGGATGGATGAAAGGAAGAAGAGATCGCGCACCAATGGAGGCGCCGGGGGAGCGGATGGGCCCAGGGGGGTGGGAGGCAGAGAATGGGAAGCCCTCCGCCCCCGCCTCCCCGTGGCGCGAGAGAAAGAAGGCCGGGCATCGCACCGCGGTCGCCCTGAGAATGCATGGCCGCTGCCTTGCTTCAGCCAGGCTCTAGCGTGGGCTCCCTGGGACGGAAAGGCCGGCACGGGGAGGCGTGGGCAAGGGGATCGGGGATCGAGATTCTCGGCGGGTGGGCGGGTAAGTAGAAGGAAGCTGGATGAAACTAGTGTACAGGAAGAGTGAATGTAAAGACGCGGGGGTTTCTTCCCTTGAACGTTTTGTTGCCTCGAAGGCTGGGAGATTTTGAAAGGGTCCTGAGAGAAGAGGCGGTAATGTACAGGAGCAAAGATGCGAATCAGGTTGTGAAGCTTAAGAGGCCGATCGTTTGTCGTCCAGAGGAGATCGGGCTGTTCTAGCTGCAAAGAATTCGAGGTCCCCGCCTTGTGCGTGGCTAGTTCAAAATGCTACCAACTCTTTGGAAGATCTTGGGATCGTTTTTTAAAAAGGCTAAAATATTCTAAAGTTAATATTGAAGATGCCAAAGTAGCGCAATAATTTAGATGCACATTGTGGAAAGACCTGGCGTAATGATATAACTTCAGATTTAGCTGCCTGCTTTCCATTTTAATCAATTGTGAACAAAAGTCTTGTGACAACACTTTGAAAACTTTGAAAGGGAAAACGCCTGGTATTTGCTGTTTGATGTCAGTTCTATTTAATTCACCAGATGTAACTTGTTACTTGGTTAAATTATAAAGGATTTTATTTTATTTTTATGTGCAGATAAAAAAGTTAATACTTTATATTTTATGTTAACATAATATACATCTATGTCATTATATATTTTTAAAATTAGAATTACTCTTACTACTGAGTATTAAAGTGAAATAGACACTTCAGATGGTTAAAGTTGCATTTATTTTGCCTCCATGGGTTGCTTTTGACACAGAGAATTAGAGATTGAAAAGCTTGAAAGTATGAATTAGGTTAGTCTATTAAATGAAGTTATTGTAGGAAAATGTGATGGTACATTGTCTATTTAACTGTGTCTAATGAAAGAACAGAATCTGCCTTGAACAGATTTACCCCCAGTAAATTGATGCATCTGTTCTGGAGGGTTTGATAAGAGACACATTTTGGAATAATGAATGGGGCTATCGTTAAAGACTGGCTGGAAGCTATAGCTGGTGCAGAGAATGTAGCTTTTGGTTTTTGAGTTGAATTCAAGGTGCTGATGATCTATAAAGTCCTTCATGGCTTAGGATCTGGATACTTTTGAGACTGCCTCTTTCCCTTATGGTTCCTGCCTGCTCTATGATATCTTGACAATAAAGAAGTGTCATTGATGGGGTCAAGGAGTAATACCTTCTCTGTTGCTATGGCTGCCCTTTGGGATAGCATGCCTCTCTCCCCTCCACTCTGTCCATAGACCTCCAATTATGTTGCCTTTTAGGACGGTCTTAAAAACCTGGCTGTTCCTCCAGCACTGGGCTGGGATGATTTGTGAACTCACAGTGTATTATGTATTTGTATCGTTGTCTTCCCCTGTGAAGTAGAGAGACTCAATTATAGTGGTGGTAGGTATACTGTTGAAAGGTCCGAAGGATCAGGTGGCAGAAATATCCTCTTAGAGAAAAATCTATCTATGTGGTCAGTAAATGTTAACACCTATGTAATGACATATAATCAATCATAGCATCAAGCCCATTCTTGGCATGGCTGTTTTGTTATCTTGACTCCTTAAAATTTATTATCTTGCTTTTGTTTTAATCTCCTTTGTTAGAAGCTTTGAATCACTTGGCAATCGGGTGGCACCAGAAACTGAATTTATAAAAACTTAATGCCATGATCTGAGAACTGAAGGATAATAGAATGATAGAAAGCAAAACTTGAAAAAAGGGAAGACAGAAGCTTGATAGCGAAATGTTTGTACAGAGACTGATTGATTATGTGCCATCAAGTCATTTTTTACTTTTAGAGACTTCATACATAGATTTTCTTCCAGATGATCTATCCTAACGTGTTCTTTCAGGACTCCCAAGAGTGCACTGATCACCACTATTACTGAGTCCATCCACTTTGCTGCTGGCTGTATTTTTCTTCTCTTTCCTTCTACCTTTCCCAGCATTAATTAAAACCTTTTCCGGAGCATTTTCATATAATGTATCTGAAGTAGGAAAATTAGAGCCTGGTAATTTGTGCCTCATGCGAGAACTGTGGGCTGATTTATCAAGAGATGTTTTATATTCTAAGGAAGGGAAATGTATATAATTGACTTGTGTTTCTTCCATTTTTCAGTTTTATTTGCAAAGTACAGTTTTTGCATCTTGATTCTTGTATACAGGTTTTTAGGATATTAATAGCTTTTGCATCTTTTTTATAATTTTCCTGGAGAGTGTGAAAATTCTAATTTGAGCAAGACAGAGATGTAGAGAAATGGGAAACATGAGAAATGAATGTCATTATATCTTGTGCAGGAGCATGTCAGAAATTGTTCTGAGAAGTTTGAGTTTAGTAAGGCTTGATCTAGACAAAGAGGACTTATTCAGTGAAATGATAATAATTCACATTTTAAGCCAGAATAATTTAGGGATAGATTGGGGGTTAGGTTTGTTCTTAACCATGAAAACTCAGTGCACTGTATTAGTTTGAAATTGTGTCAGCACAAACTTAATTTACAGGATTATGATTATAGAGTAAAAGTAAAGAAGGTGCTTTTAGAGCAGGGGTGTCAAACTGGTGGTCTATGGGCCAGATGCATCATGCTCAGGCCACACCCACCCCAGCTCCACAAAGGGAAAAAACATGATGGCAAGGTAACATGGAGATTTGACACCTGTGTTTTCGAGCATCTTGAGCTTCTTGAAGAAAGGCAGGATATCAGACATATTCAGTAGCATATTCTTCTATTTTTGTTGGTTAGGGCTAATTGTTTCAATTCTGTTAGCGAATCTGAGTTTTCCTGGGTCTTCATCTACGTGCTTTAGCCAAGTTTTCTCTGAAGCTTATCATTGTACTTTCCAAACCAAAATGTGTGAGTATGAAAGCAATCAATAAGGAAGTGGTATGTGATCCCATCTACTATGATTTGAACATTTAAGTTTATTTTTTTCTTGCCTTAGGATAGGTTCAGTATTCTAAGTAAGCAAAACAAGTAAGCTACATTGTGGATTTATATTACATGTAAACCAGGTCAGCAGAGTGACTGTTCCGAATAATTAAGAGTGAAAAGACAGCTGAATTTAAATTATTAATTTATGAAACAGAAATGGAAAAGGAATGTGGGGGTGTCATCCCTGTCTCATATGAAATATTAGAGCAGTAGTAATTCTGTATTTTGCATACATATATAAATAACCTTATTTTTCCTAAATGCTTTTTTTTAAAAAAAAAATTTATTTACCAATGTGCATGAAGCTTTACAAAATAAAATGCAGCCATCTTAGCAGGTGATAACATCCAGCAGAACCTTCTAACTTGAAAAGTAAACATGTTCACCTCTAATTAATATTTGAATGGGTGACCACTTGAAAATTCTAGGGTTTTTCTCTAGATTGAAAGGTTGAAAAAACCAACCCCAAAGAAAAATCAGTCACCAGTTTTATTCTTCATATCCTGATAAAAATACTTTCATCAAGATTGGCTGTCAGCAACTATTTATTTAGTTCTGTACACTTTCGTTTATGTCTTCTGGTGGCTTCTTTTTTGACCACCTTCAATTTTTCCTAGTATCAGGGGCTTCTTCACTAATTTTTGCCATTGTTTTATGTGCCTTAAACTTTAGTTTTATTATTAGTGTCTCAGATATACATAACAAGGGAGAAGTCTGGTGTTACTTCACCTAGAATTGAGTAATTTCTTCTGGTCCAAGGTATTCTTAATAGTTTTCTCCAGTACCATAATTCAAAGTTATTAATTTATTTAATTTTTCTAATCGTCCAGGAAGACCATAATCTTGAGAGTGTACACATTTGTTGTTTATTGTTATTTTACAGTTTATTTTCCAAACTTGTCAAAAGTCTTTTTTTCCAAATAGCAGATGTCTCTTTTATTTCATGGCTACATGTCATAATGATTTGATTGTAGCAAAGAAATATAGAAAATGCATAGTTCCTGCTGCTTGTGGCAATCAAGTGATGTCTAAAATTTTGCAACTTGTGATCTGGTCGCTATAGCAGGACTCTAATCTGCACTGTGGAATTAGGGTCAATCACATATTTTTAGAATGTTATTTTTTGACCAAACCCCTAATGTGAATAATAGTGAATTCTACTGTCCTCATTATTGCAAGTAAAAATAAGCATCAGTTGATGGTGTTATTTTTGTAATTTGTATATTCTGGCCAACACAATGCTTATTAAGGCTCTTGTTAACCAATTGTATTAGTGAAACTTTGGATTTATATACTATATTTAACAAGACATTAACTTTTGGAAATTCCTTTTTTTTCTTTTTGGAAAAACTAGACAATGGAGAAGAAGACCATCTGAATTTGCTCAGAGTATTTCCTGTCAACATCATTTCTCTTAATTCTGACAGGAAGCATTGGTAATACATACAAAGTATATGTTAGAACTTTGGTGGATCCTAAATTGAAGTAAATCCTTCTATGTTAGCATGTCCTTCATTGAAGCATGCCTTTTTACCAGTTGGCTGTACATTGGTCCATTTTTTTTTTCAGAGGCCGAAAGTGTCTATTACCAGACAAGTATAATCATTACCTAGAATAGTACAGACAAGAAGGAATTTATTGTACATCATATATTAAATGACTGAGATTCTAGTATCTGTAATAGTTTGTACAAAAGAGTGAATGTTGGTAAATACAGCTTTTCATAATCCTTTTCTATTATATCACTGTAATATGACAGTTTGAA